TATATATATATATATATATATATATATATATATATATATATATAACAACGTGAGCGTGGATTATCTTCACATGTTGTTTTTAACTTTCTTATTTTCTAACTAAATTTTAGTTATGGAATAAATAGTGCTTAGTGGGTTAAGTATAGTGCTTAGTGGGCTAAGTAGTGCTTAAGTGGGTTTAATTGTGAATATTATTCTAACTCCTTAAGCTAACCCACTAACCCACTAACCCATGTTCTTGAGTGCTCTTGTAGTTGGTTTTCTTGCAGATCATGGGCTGAGGAGTGGATGCTTGGAATGCCTATAAATACCGACTTCAATACTCAAGGAAGATTATCGATTCAACGAAGTAAAAAAAACCGAGAGCTGAACAGAATTCATGAGTGTTTTAGAGTGGTTTTAGAATCGGTCGTTTGTACTCCTCATGAGTACAATCTTTACGTACTCCTTATGAGTACATTCTTTACGTACTTCTCATAAGTACATTCTTTGTAGTCTAGATTGTATAGTATATATGTTTCTAGACTTGGTTGTAAGAATGATCAAGATAGTGATTCATTCATAAGTTCTTTACGTACTCCTCACGAGTATATTCTTTGAAATCTAGAATTTTTAATATTTTTCTTTTAGTATCTAGATTTGATTGTAAGAATGATCTTGAAAAAGATTCATTCATAAGGAAGAAGTTTTCGCACCTCTTCTGTTTGTATTCTTGGAATACTGATTTTAATATATTTTTCCGTCCTGTAAAGGGCAAGTTCACAAGTCTTTACTTTTGAACATTTTTAATTCTGAGTACTGTCTGTTAATCTTTATATTTCCGCTGCATGTTGTCTCAAGTGTCATAACATTTTAGATAACATCTCTGTATAATACGAATTCGGGACCATAAATTCTTTCAATTGGCATCAAGAGCCAACACTTGACGTATACTAAGTGTTTGTTCCTATTTTTTCAGAAACAAATTCGTGATAGATACTCAGATGACTGCTTCTATGCGACCTCCTGTACTTGATGGCACAAACTACACCTACTGGAAATGGGCGTACATCAAAGCCATTGATGAGAAAGCCTGGAGATCTATTCTTACTGGATGGAAGCCACCAACTATCACAGATACGGATGGGGATGTATTTCCAAAACCAGAATTACAGTGGACAGCAGACGATCTATCAAATGCACTCCAGGCAGAACTAGAAAAGGAAGAAGTTGCTACGGAATATGATGATGATGCAGATGAATGTCACAACAATGTGGCATTTCAAATTCAGAAATTCAATAGGGCGTACAGACGAAGTGGAATCAAGCCCAGACAGTTATTTCCAGAAAGCTCTCCACAAAATCGACAAACTCAGCCTCGGAACAGATCTATTCCACAGAGAACATTTCCTCAAACATCTTCTCAAAACACTTCAAAAAATTCTTCATTTATTCGTTCAAATTCTGAACCACCTAACTTGGATCATATTAAATGCAGGGCATGTTCAGGATTTGGACATTATGCTAATGAATGTGCAAATACCTTGAGAAGAAGAGGAATGAGTCTGATTTGTGCAGTCAGTGATGAGGAGGAAGAGCAACCTGAACAGACAGAGGAACAACAATCCACTAAACAAGCCCTCTCAGTCAGATATATCACTGGAAATGCTTCTGAAACAGAATCACAAGGAGTCTCTCTGGATGCTGCAACACCTTCTGAAACACTTTCAGTAACTGAAATTTCTGAGTTAAATACTGATCATTATACATGTTTAAACTCTATTTCTTTGAATGCAGCATAATCCAGTAATGAAGCAGTTAGTGATGAGGAAGAAATGTACAAGAAATTGTTCAGTGACTTGGAGAAGAAGACTCATGCTCTAGATGCAGTCAACAAGGAAAATCCTTCTCTCAAAGAAACAATCACTCATTTGGAGGTTGGTATCACCAAGAAGGATCTTGAACTGGCAAAGGTGAAAGATGAACTCAAAGAAGCGACTCTAGCAATCAAGAGGATGAATACCGACACAACTAAACTCAAAGAGATTGTGTCACTGGAAAAGTACAACAAAAAGGAAGGTCTAGGGTTCAAGAAACAAGTGAAGAAACACAAGCCAGTGAAGAAGAAAGAAGTTGTCGTTGTCAAAGAGAAGAGTTCAGATGGCAAGGAATCCAGGAATTTCACAGTCACCACTTCAGAGTCCAGAATAAGGGGATGCATTTGTCATTATTGTTTCTCACCAGGACATATTCGTCCATTTTGTGAAAAACTCAGTAGTGACAAAATGTTGTACAAAATGAGCCACAGCACTCCAGGGAACACCTCCAAGAAAAAGGTAGAATTTACCAAAAAGGAGTGTAGAATATGGACTCCGAAAGGTAAACTTATGTACAAAGCAGTATACACTTCATTAAATGCTAACATTTCAGGTTCATGGTACTTTGATAGTGGATTCTCTAGGCACATGACTGGAACTAAAGAATTTCTATCAAACTACCATACACTCAATGGAGGACGTGTAACCTATGGAGGAGGAGCTAAAGGCAAAGTGGTTGGACGTGGAACACTCAGTATTGAGGGACTTCCAAAACTTTCAAATGTCTTACATGTTGAAGGATTGGGGTCAAACCTCATCAGTATTAGTCAATTGTGTGATGATGATCTACGGGCTCAATTTGATAAATACTGTTGTTGTGTGTTTGATAATCAAAATCATTGTGTACTAACAGGTTCCATATCAATGGATAATTGTTATCAAACAGGTGACACCATCTCAAGCAAGAGCTCAAGAGTAAGTGAACTAGAGCTGTGGCACCAGAAACTAGATCACACAAACTTCAAAAATCTGAAGCTGCTCAACAAGTACAATGCCATAAGAGTAATTCCTGATCTCAAGATCAAGGACATTCCTATATGCGGAATGTGCCAGAAGGGAAAGCAAACTAGAGTATCACACAATGTGTTACAACCCGTTGGTACCACCATTTGTTTTGAACTTGTACATATGGATCTTATGGGTCCTATAGAGGTAGAAAGCCTAGGTGGTAAATATGTATTTGTGTGTGTTGATGATTTTTCAAGATATACTTTGGTGTATTT